GATTGATAAATGACATCTAGAAACTGTCTTTTACATTGTACATTCTCTAAAACCACTGAATAAACAGCCATTATATATCAATGTAGCCTATTGTATATAAAAACAAACCTGTGTAGACTTCATTTATTATGTTTAAATGTAAATGTAGTGTAATACCTCAAATATTTACTTGGCTATTATGATGATTTATAAATGTTGTGCTGTGCATATTGGGAACAGTGATTCACTGGTGTCTTCACTGTAAAAATTAATATGCTTCATCTATTCAATAGAATTGTGGCAACAGATTACAAGCAATATTATTAAATACATTTAACAAATTAGAATTGAGTAATAATTAATCAAATTATTCCTTAAAAGTTAACCATTTCAAATGAGTAAAGTTAACACCAAAAATTTTAACCAAAATATCTAAAAATTTAAAATAATTAAGAACTCTTTATTTTATATTGCCAACATTGAAGACACCTGATGTTAACAACCATAATGGTGACTTCAATTTATGTTTTTTTTTTTTTTTTTTTTGTAAGTTTTACTCATTTTAAATGGTTAACTTTTAAGGAATTAATTTGATGTATTATTCTAATTTATTAAATTTATTTAATAATGTTGCTTGTAATCTGTTGCCACATTTTTTATTTATTTTTTATTTTTTAATTAGATAAAGCATATTCATTTTTTACAGTGTTCATCTTCAGGTAAAATAAATCAAGTGGTTAAAAAAAAGATATAAATTCTGCTTGTTTCATACGAGTTAAGATAAGTCCCTTAAATGTACTATGAAATTCAGCTAAACCATCACTATGTCCATTGTACACCATTCCAATGCCAGATCACCTTGAAAACGTGATACAATTAAAAAAAATCTTTGAGTTATGAAGCTGAAAAGTATACAAGAAAGGTTGTTTTTGTCCCTGCGAATGAAAATGTATCATCCATTTAATGCCACTTTCTAATAAGTCTGTTAAATAATTGTAAAAAAAACAAACAAATGACACTACATCATAATGGCTAAACAATTGTTTACCTCTAAAATTACAATTTTCCAAGAAATAACTGCAAATTTCTTCCATTTTGTACTATTTCTAATGATGTTCAGTGTTGATTCAGTTCTGTTTAATAAGTAAACACCATCAATGATGTCATCATCCTTCTCAGTTCAGTTCAATCTAGAAAAAAAAACTGTCGGGGGACCAGTCTTCACTGGTCAAATGAATGGACATGGTGTGATTATGATTCTGGCTGACTCGCAAGTCCGATTGTGAACCGGTTCCATGAAGAACCTTTAACATCCATGCAAACTATCCATTGCAATAGCTTCTTTAGATTGTTAAAATGCTCTGAGGAACCCAAGTCTATGCTTCATTGTGAAACGCTCCTATGAAACTTTTTTTTTCTTTTTTTTCTTTTTAAGAAAGAAAATAACAGTCATTTATCTTATGAGAAGGTGTGTAAGCATGACAATCAAAGTTCATATTCACAAATTCACAGTTTCAGGGATGGATTGTTTGCATTTACAAGGCACATTAAAACACATCCACTGCTGGGTTTTTGGGTTTTCATGATTGTTATACTATGCTGTATATTTGATACCCTAAACCTATCACAGAAAACCTTTCAAAATATTTTTTTTTACATTTAACATCAATTTGACATTTCCAAAAAACATTTTAGCATGATTTATAAGCCATTTCCTCATGGGGACCATAAATATCTCAACAAGGATTTCTGATATCTTCATCTTTGTGGGGATTTTGTCACTATAAAGTAGGGTTTACATGGACCCGACAAACGCATGCACGTATGCACGCACGCACACACATATTGCAAGATCACACAGGGAAAGGGTCATCATATAGTTCCCTCATCCTCAGTTGATCATACCAAGACATAGCACTCAAATTGTTTTGCTGATGTAAGGGATTCTGGAAGAGCATTAATCTGCGGGCCTCACCCTCTCTGGTTAATCAGTGCATCAGTCACTCATAAAAAATGTGTCTGTAGCAATATTCATCTATAGCAGACTGGGCTGTGCTGAGTCAGCGTTGGAGACTAGTCCTGCTGTTATTGGTGGAGCTGGTTGAACAACATGGAAAGAAGAAGAAGGAATCTATTTGTTGATTTACAAATCTATATTACAGTTTTTCCGTATTGCTAAAACACTAAACCATATTCTCTAAACCAAATTCTCAATAGCCTTTAAACCAATTTGTAAAATCACTCTTTCTGTAAAAACTTAAACAAGTTCAGGGATTTAAAACACTGTTTGCAAATCTCATGCACTCTTTCTGCGAATCTCTAAAAACATTCTCACTCACTAAAACACATTTCTGACTGTGAAGCACCAAGACAGGCTAAAGTTAAACACAACTACACACAGTTGTCTTCGTTTACACACACAACAGCAAAATGTTCACACTTATTTCTAATGATGTGACCAAACCAACTGTACATAAGACAAGTCAGTTCACAGTCCCAAATTTTACTCAAAACACTGCTCAAAATGTTGATACTAACAATGGATGGAAACAATATGAGGAAGAGGAGGTGGATTAGGAGGAAGAGGAGGTGAATGAGGAGGAAGAGGAGGTGGACGAGGAGGAAAAGGAGGTGGATGAGGAGGAAGAGGAGGTGGATGAGAAGGAAGAGGAGGTGGACGAGGAGGAAGAGGAGATGAATGAGGAGGAAGAGGAGGTGGATGAGGAGGAAGAGGAGGTGGACGAGGAGGAAGAGATAGATGAGGAGGAAGAGGAGGTGGACGAGAAGGAAGAGGAGGTGGATGAGGAGGAAGAGGAGGTGGACGAGGAGGAAGAGATAGATGAGGAGGAAGAGGAGGTGGACGAGAAGGAAGAGGAGGTGGATGAGGAGGAAGAGATAGATGAGGAGGAAGAGGAGGTGGACGAGAAGGAAGAGGAGATGAACGAGGAGGAAGAGGAGTTGGATGAGGAGGAAGAGGAGGTGGACGAGGAGGAAGAGATAGATGAGGTGGAAGAGGAGGTGGACGAGGAGGAAGAGATAGATGAGGTGGAAGAGGAGGTGGACGAGAAGAAAGAGGAGGTAGACGAGGAGGAAGAGATAGATGAGGTGGAAGAGGAGGTAGACGAGAAGTAGGAGGAGATGAACGAGGAGGAAGAGCAGTTGGATGAGGAGGAAGAGGAGGTGGACGAGGAGGAAGAGATAGATGAGGTGGAAGAGGAGGTGGACGAGAAGGAAGAGGAGATGAACGAGGAGGAAGAGGAGTTGGATGAGGAGGAAGAGGAGGTGGACGAGGAGGAAGAGATAGATGAGGTGGAAGAGGAGGTAGACGCGAAGTAGGAGGAGATGAACGAGGAGGAAGAGGAGTTGGATGAGGAGGAAGAGGAGGTGGACGAGGAGGAAGAGATAGATGAGGTGGGAGAGGAGGTAGACGAGAAGTAGGAGGAGATGAACGAGGAGGAAGAGGAGGTGGATGAGGAGGAAGAGATAGATGAGGAGGAAGAGGAGGTGGACGAGGAGGAAGAGGAGGTGGATGAGGAAGAAGAGGAGGTGGACGAGGAGGAAGAGGAGGTGGACGAGGAGGAAGAGGAGGTGGATGAGGAGGAAGAGGAGGTGGATGAGGAGGTGGATGAGGAGGAAGAGATAGATGAGGAGGAAGAGGAGGTGAACGAGGAGGAAGAGGAGATGGACAAGGAGGAAGAGGAGATGGACGATGAGGAAGAAGAGGTGGACGAGGAGGAAGAGGAGATGGACGAGAAGGAAGAGGAGGTGAACGAGAAGGAAGTGGATGAGGAGGTGAACGAGGAGGAAGAGGAAGTGGACGAGGAGGAGGTACACTTTGGATTCTGTGTTGCACACTTTGGATTCTGTAACTGCACACTTTGGATTCTGTGTTCTCCTTTTTTGATGTAGTGTCTAACGAATGATATGTAGTGTTTATAATATTGACTCGTGTGTATGATGTGAGAGCATTGTTTGATTTTAAGCAGATAAAATGGTTTTGAGGCAATTGTTAGATTTTGCCAGAAAAATCAGAGGTTCTGTGAAAGGGGTTTGAAAATTTGGTTTACTTTAAGTGAGTGATGGTTTCAAGCAATGTGTTTTGTAATTATCAAAACATGTATACAGAAGGTACAACTTGCAATTTTATTTACCAGCTCCATGGAACAACATGGGATAAGTAATGGAAATATGGAACATACTTGTGCTAAATTAATTATTTTTACAACATACATTTCTCAAATCAATATTACCAAATGTCCAAAAGCATGCTTCATTATAGCAAAGTCATGTGGCTTTGACTCACCAGATCATCTAATCAGAAAACTGGCAACAAACGAGGGGTATGTTTGGATGGACGTGAGGTCTAAATGACAAAATGTTAATTTAATCATTCTGAAATGCCTGAGCCGTCTGTCATCAAAAAGGTTGGGTAAACCTTCTACCTCCAAGAACTGTCTCACATGATTGCGTTCGTCCCAAACACCAGGCATCTGATCTGCCTCCAAACACAAGATAACATGACAGTGTTTATTGCATTTCATCCCTGTGCTTTCTGGAGAAAGTCATTTATTATGTTGGAAAAAAGAGACAGTGGCTTACAAAAGCGCATTTTAATCAGATTACATAAATGTGCATTATTTATAATAATAATAATTATAATAATAATAATAATAATTAAAAAGAACAAGAATGGTCAACAACGTTACTTCTATGAGTCAAGTTTCATAATTTTCATTCCGGTCAATGACAATTATGAATATAAATATCAAAAATAAATATCGTCCTACCCTGACTAAACTATTTTCATATCCATTATGATACTTGGAAAATAATAAAGAGAAACGCTTTACAAAGTTTGCCTCGTTAGGTTAAAATGCGCACTTGTTGTGACTCGTGCCCTGTGCTTGACCTCACCACCCCAACAAACATGGCGACGTTTCCTCGACACTTCAGAGTCACGTTGCTATAGCAACACTCCAACTCTCGCGATGGCAAAGAGTGCGAGACTGACTGCGGCGCCCTATTTCCTTTCCTCGCTGTAAATGGACAAGTGCGTGCGCGAGCTCTGGCTGAATTCAAGTCACCAACGGTCGCAAACTTTACTCACAAACAGCGTTTAACTTTCATTTTAAGGCAGGCAATAGATAAGCGGTTAACGAATTAGGTCAGAGTGTTGTTTCTGAGCAGCCTCGGTGTGTTTTAGTCGTTTGTTTGAGGCGTAAACAGTGCAAAAGAGGAGTTGTGGGTGGGTTTGGCGGTTATGGCAGCACCGCGACCCATTAAAGGGATTCTGAAGAACAAATCCAGTATCAAAGGCCGACCTGAAGAGCCAGTCCAGGAAACTCCAGAACCAGGACCCCCTATAAACTCTGAAGACGACCAACAGTGAGTAAATGCTCTTTAAAACAGCTTAAATCAGTCAGACGGGGCGTCTATAGCAGTGCCACTGTCACACGAGATCTGTCAATCAAACTGCTCTGCTGAAATGATGTTGACAGTGACCTGAACTAGTGCACTCAACCAGTCCTTTAGCTACTGGTCCAGTTTAATGGTTTGTTCCAGTTGGAGTACTGTGATGGTAGCATAGTTTGCTAATAGGTTAGCCACTGACCTGTCATGTCAAAACTAACCCTCCTTCTGTAATGAACATTAATCTTTCCCTCTCTTTTTTACTAACAAGCTATGTTCTTCTAGTCAATTTCTGAACCTGTTGTTTAGATGTAACTCGATATCACATATGTTTTAATTTTTAATTCACTGATATGTAGCAAAAGTATGATTGTCGTCAGTCATTTTACCTTGACCAAACATACAAGTTATGTAATTCAAACTGATATTTTATGTTATAAACGGGCTTTAAAAAAGCTCAATAACATTATTACATGTATGCAGCGGATCATTATGGCTTCAAATGGGTAGACACTTCAAAAGCAATTCATATTCCTTAAAGCTAGGGTATACGATTTCAAAGATTGTTCATTATTAATATCCTCGTTTAGATGCTGGTTATGGTTATATAGTACAATCCTAACAATATGAATAGAAAAAAGAACGAAAAAAATCCATTCTCTCTATTGGCTGTACAGCCGCAGAAAAGTTGACCAATGTAAGCTGTGCGGCCGAACAACTTATATTGGTCAACTGCTCTCATCCAATCACCAGCTCCACTTGAAACTCCGCCTGGCGCTCGCGTGTCCAACCCAACAGCACCCGCCCCGCCCCTGCCCCCCTCCTTGCGCAAGCAAACAGCTGACAGACTGTCTATGGTAGCTAGCTAGTAGCGTCAGATCAGCAATGGATAAAGCAATGGATAAAAATATAAACTACAACAGCAAGCGGCCCCTGCTTGCCTCTACTGTAAAGTTAGGACGCAAGAGAAAGTCTGTGGAGGAAAGATCAGAGATTAAAAAGAAATGTGAAAAACGCCGGACTCTAAGTAGGATAAATATAGCGTCCTTCATTGACCATTGGAGAAAGCTTCAGGGAGATCTGGGGCTGACAAACGACGCTGACACGGATGACTTTTTGTTGAGCAGGTAAACATTTATTTATTCTTTTATGGTGTGACGTGTTACGTGGCTTTTTATCAGTTTGACAACTTGCTCATGTTGCCGGTCGGCATTGGAATGTTAGCCGTTTAGCATCGCCGATCGCGGTTCAAGGTAATTCTATTTCTTGTTCGAGGTTTCTGTTCGAGCCGATCGGAATTTGAACAAGATGCGCTGCGTGCTGCAATAACAATTACTGAAAACCTTAGCAATACTAGTAGTATTATAATGGTGGTGGGGATTTCATGTGTTGCTAATCTTGCGTTGACGTGAACTCAAATGTGACATGCGTCAGGGATCAAGTAGCGCAGAGGGGAGGGGGGTGTGTGTGGAGGGGCGGGATGAGTTTTTTAAAACTTCCCTACCGTCTCGACCAATTTTTAACATCGTATACCATAGCTTTAATATCAGGGATGCCCGATACATCAGCCACATTATCGGTATCGGCCGATATATGATCATTTTCAATGTTATCGATATCGGCCCGACAAGAACAATTAGCCGATATCTAAAAGCTGATAAATAATGTATCATTTCCTTGAGCTGAGGCACTTTAGATGTGAACTGTTCAACATAATGCTTTTAAATTGCTTGAAATACGATTGAAATCACTTTAAAAAAGGAAAATCCAGTTAAAGTGCAAAATGTGCAGCGCAAGTCTGTCATATTGGCTACACAACATTAAAATAAGAACATCATAGTTGTGTTTTTATCTTGGCTTTTAATGAAGAAAATCAAAAATTGTCTAAAAATTTGTATTTAGATTTATCGGCCAAAATATCGGTTATCGGCTTTCAAATATAAAGAATTATCGGTTGTCGGTATCGGCCAAAATTGTCATATCGGTGCATCCCTAAATCATTTTATGACTTAATTAACTCGGAGAGTCAAATTTACTTGATTTTGCTATCCTCACGTACATAAATGAATGTTATATAGTGTCCTGCAGCCAGTAGTAAACACAATATATCTGGTGTCAGAATAGTGTAATGTCACACTACAAACATCTAAATGGTTTTAAAAATTGGCTTATTTTAGGCAAAATATACTTTCTTTTGGCGTTGAGGTAAAATAAGATTCTCTGAGATGATTTTTAAAATTTATTATTAATTTAAAGAAAATATTAAAGGAAGTGTGATTTCTCTTCGATAACATGAACAAAGTCAAATAAAAACAAAACTAGTCCGCTCACTCTTGCTATCATAAAACACAGCTGTCACTGGAGATTTGAGTGATTTATTATTATTTCTTTCTTTCTTTTTTTGCATGAAGGGCGACGCATGTAAAAATCGATCTCATTCGTTTTGACATTAACTGATCCAGAGTCACTCATAGACGTCGTGGAAGCCCGTCTCTCCTGGAGGTCAGAGAAGTTCAAGGATGGGACTGAAATAAAGACAATCCCACTTCCTTGTTAACTGAGCCATCTGGCTTTATCTATATTCAGCACTCGTATTGATTTGTTCTTTTAGGTCGACCAAAATCTGAACAGGATTTTTCAGAAACCTCAGTAAAGGAGGCACTAAGCCCCTTGGTTATGGAGGTTGTGCTCGTCAGTGTGGCATGTGTCGACTGCATGTAGGTGTTCTCGTTGGCTTCCTCTCTCATGCCAGAAGACATTGTTCTTGAATCCAGCTCTCCCACTCTTAGGAAAATAGGACACACTGTAAGAATGGCACTTATTACTGAATTCCCATCCCGTGAGACTGCAGTGACACTAAATTAGACCCTTAAAAAAATTTATTCAGTGACGTTAATCTTTAAAAAAAAAAGAAAAAAGGCTCTTAATTGGCGTCTTTGGTTCCATAGAGAATCTTTAACATCCATGGAAACTTTCTATTCTACAAAAGGTTCTTTAGATTAATGAAATTAATGATAAATTAATGACATTTTAAGGAATTTTCAAATTTTTTGTTTAAGAGTAACCACCAGATCAGCGTTTCCCACGGCATACTTTTGATCAATAAAAAATCCCATGACAAGCACCATTATAACAAAATTGCACAAACATGCATTGCTTGAATGGCATATAAATTGCCTTTATGTAAAGTAGTGCTGACTTTTAATGTGAAAGCCTAAGTCCGGTAGGAACACAATAAGCATGATGATGTTGCTGATGATAAAACAATAAATAACTCATGTTTAATTAAACACTGTTGTCAAAGTTGGTATTGTGGCTTTGTATAGCAATGGTCAGATGCTTGCAGGTGATTTATAATATTAACATTTTATGAAAATCAAGCTCAAATTGAGTTACGAGGTCTTTGGCCAGCGAATGACAGATAGTTCATCTGCCACGGGATCAGCCGGATCTGAGGCGGTACCTGCGTCACATGACGTTTCCATCAACATACAGGATATTAAGTTTAATACGGGCGCTGAGTTTTCTTGTTGTTGAAATCTCATGATACAAAAGATGAAGCGCTATGACTAGACGGCAAAGACTAAGACTATTCTCCGCTCTTCAAGTACAGAAAACGTTAGACTTTATGGACGTGTTTCTCGAGTGAATAAAACGCTGTACTTCAGCAAACATCGGTTCTTTATTTTCCCTTGCATTGCACACAAGCAGAGATGTCTCCAAGCATTGCCCGAGTGCGGTGCATTGGAAATGGAGGCGGGATTGAGTTATCAGGTTTGACTGACTGTTTGAGGAGCCAATGGTTTAGTCACAACCTTTTTTAAATGCTTTTTATTGGTTAAATATTTGTAAAACCACATACAAACGTAAAGGATGACCAACAACATTAACTTAAAACTAACTAACTAACTAACTTTAACTAACTTAAAACAATGACAAATAGAGAGCTTCAATGTTTTTGGCCCAACAGCAAATTGATATTTTCTTATTTGTAGCATTTATTTTTAATTATTTTTTGTAATTTGTTAATTTTTCATGGCACACCTGTGTAACTAGCGTTTTAGTGTACCTCAGCACAGTGATTGGGAAACAGTGTTGTTGATCGTATTATGTTATGATATTTCTCTTGTCCCACAACAAGCAATATGGTTTTTTGGAAAAAGCGAAAAATTAAAATACTTTTACTGATAAACAGGACCATTATGTCCTATTTTCTGAAATATCACGTTATTTTATCATAACATGCTGCTACTTATAGTCCAAGGCTATATATTACAATTATCGTCAAGCACACGAAACATGCGCAAAGTGCCGCACACACTTCATGTCGAATGAAAGGCCCAAGTTTATTTTATAGTGCATTTGACCCACATGCTAATAGTTAATAATGTTAAGACTTGGCGGTTTTAAAAATGAATTTAATTAATATTTGTTTGTTTTATCCTTATATTTTTCAGTTCTGTTCAGGAATAGAGTAAAAATCAAACTAAAACAGTAAATGTTTGTAGTGTTTATAATATTTGTAATAATTTAATTAAAATTTTATATTATTTTTAAATGTAACAATAAAATGTGACTTAGGTTATTCATAGATACATCTTAATTTATGGAAAATAAGGTAAATGAATTTTTCAAAAATGTTTTATTTATTTTGGTCAATTGAGTTTGACAACTAAAACCATGTGGTGTGTTTTACTCGTGCAGAATCACCAGCACGATACTAGTGTGGGTGGGTGTTTGCCAGGGCATTTGTTGAGGTGTTCTCACTGTCTTCTGGTGTGTTATGCGGTTGCGAAGGCATGCTAGGTGGTTGCTAGGCTTTTGCTTACTGGCTAACCCCCAAGTCTCTGATATTTTGGTCTGTAGATATGGCATGGGTCCCTCTTTCATTGTAAGTCTATAATATTTATTTATTTTTTCCAGTTTTCTCATTAAAGAGGCAAAAATATAAGTATAAAAGTAACGGCAAGCATCTC